CGAGCGCCTTGGTCACCGTCGCCTGCGATGCGTAGCGAGCGATACCGCGTTGCCGCTTGTCGATGCTGTCACTTTCGTCGAGCCCATGCCAGCTGCTGTATCGTGGTCGTGAGCCGAGCCGAGCGTGAGGCCAGGAGGCGACGGCGACACAAGAGACTCTACGTCGCTCGCCACGTCGCCAGCGCATCGTCGACGACCCTCCTAGCAGCATCGGTACCATGCCCGTACGAATGTATGCTCGAGAGCCCAGCGTCTGAGCTACTAGTACGTCCGAGCACCGACCGGTTTGGATCTTGGAAAGGCGCGACGATCGCCATGGTCTCTCTCACAAAGCCCATTTTGAGATTTGTTTTGAGATTCAGATCCGACGTGGCAGCTTCCATTCGAGGCTTCCAGTGTAAGACCCTACGCACGTGTAGCTGTCGCTGCACGTGGGAGCCGCTCGGACGCGACGGACGGTGCCTGGGACGCACCGCGCTGGACATGGATTTTGGCAGGCTACGCAGTTCGACAGGTATCACGTGTGACAGTGCAAACATTCCAATCCAATCCGAGCCGATGGCAACGACCGACGACGAGATCGAGGCCATCGCGGTCGACATGCACCTTCCCGCGACGTCGCCGAGCCTGCCAAGCGTCGTAGTCTACGCCATCCTGCAGGCCATGGAGGACGGACGGGACGTGGCCGCCTTTCTCGCAGCGCTGCCAGACGAGACGCTGCCGCCCGAGCTCGCTGCGCTCCGCGACCTCGGCGCTGTCGTCGACCTCGCCGACCACTGGCCATTCGTCCGCGTGGTGCATGTCCCGACAGAGTACGCTCGCGTCGCGATTGCCGCGCTGCCTGCATTTGGCGGCGTCCTCATCGACCCTGGCTTTGCCGCGCTCGCGTGGCTCGATGCCGAGCTGCCACCTGCGACGCTCGTGTATCTCGTCTTGGACCCGTCAGTGTCTGGCGTCCCCGGCGCCTTTGCATTCAACTGGGGCGACTGCATTACCCATGTCATTGTCCATGGCCACACGGTCGCGCCCGACCCGATCCCCGACATCCTCGCCCACTGCATGCACGTCCAGTCTGTCTCGATCGTGAGCGCGACGACGCCAGCCGCCGCGGCTGCGTACTTGGGAGCGATCGTGACGACGGACTTGCGCACGCTCAGCGTGCACGTAGCATCAACGGGCGCACTGGATACGTCTGGCATCGTCGCATGGCTTCACGGACTTAAGGCCATCTCCTTGTCAATCACGTGCGACACGGTGGACGACCCAACGGCGCTCGCACATGCGATCCATGCCTGCGCGACGATGTGGTCCTTGAGCCTCGACGGCGCCATGGACGTCCAAGGTGCCTTGGTGCGGTCACCCTACCACTTGCACCACATCCGGACACTCACGTTGGTTCAATCGACGGACCAGTACGTCGACGTCTTCGCCAAGCTCCATCCAGACAACATTGGCCACTTCTCGCTCAAAAAAGCCCAGGGCCATGCGCTTGCGGTGCCTCGAACCATGGGCGCGCTTCGCAAGTGCGCCGTCCTCGAGAACATCGCATTGGTGCATGTGCACATCTCGACCATGTCGGCCCGTCTGCGAGACTGTTTCTGGCTCGCATCGGCCACGTTCCAGCAGACAACGTTCGAGAACCCACAAGATGTCGTGGCGACCATGCGCTGGCTCTCGACCTCGCGCCATCTCCGGTCGGTCGACTTGGATGGCACCGTGCTCGGGAGGGCAGGTGTCGTGGAGCTGGCGCGGGCGCTGCCTCTCTGGATGGCGACTGGGCTCAAGACGCTCGCGCTGCGTGGGTCGCAGATCAATGACAAGGATGCGATCGTCCTAGCGGTCGCGCTTGCGTCGGGCCGCAACCGCCGCCCCCTGACGATCGCGATGACGGGCAATCAACTGACGGCCGCGTCGGCACCTGCGCTATTGACGGCGCTGGCGGCCTGCTGCGATGTCACGTTGCACGTGGGCAGCATTTTTGTCGACTCGGAGCACGTCTCGCGTGGGTTGTATGGGTACAATGGAGATCAGCAACGCGTTCAACAGGCAGAAACACTCCGAGCTTTATTGAGTGAGCACCAGCTTCAGTACGTTGCGCCCGGTACATACGTGTCGCCATCGCGCGCCTCTTCGCCATGGCATCCCGTCTGCTTGTAATCGCATCCACTGCGATCCTCTCTAATACATGTTGTCAAGTGTACATGTTGTCTAGTACACCTCGAACATGTCAAGATGCAGGTGGCACTTAGTCAACCACCTTTTGTCCAGTCGGTGGATTTCTGCTTCACATACAGAAGGTGCGGGGTTCGAGCCCCGTAGGTGTTGTCCCTGTCTTCTCTTTCCCATTGGCGTTGGCATCGGAAACATCTACCCGGTAGTCACGGCATGTCAGTGTATAACGCCATCTTCAAAACGCGGTTGACATCCCATGAAGCACCCATTGTGCGTGCTAGTCCATACACAGACAACGTTCCTTTCGACTGTTTATCGTCTCTATAGCATTCATCGCCACTGCTTTAGCCAGTTGCAAGTGCAAGGCGACGGAGAGCTCCGTTTACCGCGCCTACTTGTATAGAATTTACCAAGTAATGTATTGTGAAAGGTATTTATTATGAAGGTTTTGATGGGCAATGTCGGCACGCTCAGAAATGAATCGCCAGTCAGCGACGGCGGATGCGACCGAGACCAAGCGGGTCTGTACGCGCGAGGCTGCCACGCGCTCGCCGAGCCTGCCAAGCGTCGTGGTCTATCTCATTCTAGAAGCGCTTCGCGACGGGAAGAGCGTGACCGCCTTTCTATCGGCCCTGCCGCCGTTGACGCTGCCGCCCGAGCTCATCGCGCTCCGCGACCTCGGTGCTGTCGTTGACCTCGCTTGCCACTGGCCGGTCTTGCACATCACCAAGATTCCGATCCAGTACGCGCGCCTCGGGGCCGCAGCGCTGCCCGTTTTCGCCGGTGTCTACATTGACACTGGTTTTACAGCCCTCGATTGGCTCGACGCAACGCCCCAGAGGGCCGTGACGCTGGTCGTGGACCCGTCCGTGCCTGGCACGCTCACGACGTTTGCGTACAACTGGGGCAACCGCATCACGAACGTCGTTGTCAAGGGCCACAAGGTCAAGCCCGACCCGATTCCGGATCTGCTTGGTCGCTGCGTCAACGTGCAGAGTGCGAGCATTGAGAGCGCCGCGACCCAAGCTGCTGCGGCCGCCTACCTTGCGGCCCTATCGACGCAGCACTTGCGCACGCTCAAGGTGACGGCCAACGGGACGGGTCTGTTGGACACTAGCGCCATCGTCGCCTGGCTCCAAGAACCCAGTGCGACGTCCCTTCACCTCGCCTGCGCCTCTGTGACAGATCCGAGAGCGCTGGCCAGCGCAATCCGAGCGTGCGCTACGCTCTCGACCTTGCATCTGGACGGCGTTGTGGACGTGCAAGCAGCCTTGGCGACCGCCAGTGGCACTTTTGACCACGACGTCTCGGGGCTCTCGTTGCGCTCGTCGTCGGGAGAGCACGGGATTCCGATCCTCGCGAATCTGGATCGGACCAAAGTCGTCTCGTTTGCACTCGAGAACACCCATGCGAATGTGCTCTTGGTGGCCAACGCTCTTAGCACGATTGGCGAGTGCACCGCGCTCGAGACGGTAACGCTCACGAAATGGAGTCTGCCGGCGGTGACGACAACTACTGGTGCGTGCCCACGGCTCGTAACCGCGACGCTGCGTCAATTGACGTGCGTACCGACGAGCGTCCCACGAATCATCCGGTGGCTCTCGACTTCCCGCCGCCTCACGGACGTGGATTTCACGGGGACCGTGCTTGGCAGCGATGGCGTCTTGGAGCTCGCGCGTGCGCTTCCTGCGTGGATGGCGCGTGGCCTCCAGACGCTCCAACTTGAAGCAACGGGACTCAATGATAAAGATGCGATCGTCGTTGCGATTGCGCTTGCATCGAACCGCAACCGCAACCCGCTGACGATCCACCTGACGGGAAACCAATTCACGATGGCGTCGGCGCCGGTGCTACTGACGACGCTGGGGGCTTCTCGCGACGTCACGTTGCATTTGAACGGTCCTCTCGAGTACTCCAAGTATATCCCGTACCCATACGACGAGGATGATCCATATGGGAGGCATCTAGCTCGCTACAACCAGCGTGTCGAAGATTCCCACATCCTCGGAGACCTCATCGAAGCGCATAAGCTTCGGTACGTTTCGCCCGGCACATATATGTCTCCATCGCGCACCTCATCGCCGTGGCACCCCATCTGTTTGTAAGCAGCAAATTCAGTACCTTGATTTTCGCTATGGTAGTCTTTTCTTATTTGCCTCGAAGCTTCCACACAACGAGCTTTCGAGTACGAGCGTCGAGCGGGAGGTAGCTCTTTTACGGTCGTCAACCTCACCTTGTCGGTTGGTGATTGGGCGAGGCGCAACCCATTCCTGCAACGTCACGCTGCGTTTGGGCTACCTTCTTGGGTTTGTGGGGTTCGGTCAACGCGTGAGCCCAATGAGGAGCGAATCCAGCACCTCATGCGCGCGCATGGGCTACAGTCGACTGCAGAGGGCTATTTTTTGTCGCCTTCGCGTCGTACTCGTCCTCTATCTCGGGAATCCTACGACAATTGTACGCCTCTTGTTGTTGGATAGCAAACACACCAGCATAGAAGCGGGGCCAAAACGTTGCTGGTCCTACCAAGTGATAACAGCACGTTGTGCCATGTTTTCTCGCGGGCTACGTGTTGTCACAGGTAATATCTTATTCACGTGTGGCAGTTGAAGTCGACTCGGGCGCGCATTCGAAAGCCCATACACATCGTTGGCGCTAACCACCATTCAGTCAAACAAGACATTTCGACGGGCAATGACGACGATCCATCCGCGCCCAGTCACGACAATCCTTCCAAGTGTCGTGCTGCACGCCATTCTTCGGGCAACAAGCCACGGAGCTGATGTCTTTGCCATCCTTGAAGCACTGCCCGTCGCAACGCTCCTACCCGAGTTCGTCGCGCTTTGGGAGCTTGGTGCCGGCGTCAACCTCGCCGACCACTGGCCGATCGTGCACATCACCAGATTCCGATCGAGCTCGCTCACCTCGGTATTGCTGCGCTACCAGCATTCAAGGGTGTCTACGTGGACGCTGGCTTTACGTCGCTGACGTGGCTCGACGTGACGCTTCCGCCCAACATGTCTGTGACGCTGGTCGTCGACCCCACGGTGCCCGGCCCGCTCTGCGCCTTTGCGTGCAACTGGGGCGACTGCATCACAGAGGTCATCGTCAAGGGCCGCGCGGTCCGACCCGATCCGATCCCCGACATCTTGTCGCGCTGCGTCAACGTCCGAGCTGTGGCGATCGAGTGCGCCGCGACCCCAGTGGCGGCAGCTGCGTATTTGGCGGCGATACCGACCACGCATTTGCATACGCTCCGCGTCTGTGTCGTGTCGACAGACGCCTTGGACGCGAGTGGCATCGTCGCATGGCTTCAAGGGCCGAACGCGACGTCGCTCAGTCTCTCGTGTGCCTCCGTGCGCGACCCGGTGGCACTCGCCAGCGCGATTCAAGACTGCGCGACGCTGTCGTCCTTGGCACTGGGCAATGCCTTGAACGTTCAAGTCACTCTCGCGACGTCACCACAGGGCTTGTGCCACGTCACGGCGCTCGCGTTGAGCCAAGGATCCAAGTCGTACACCATCAACGTCCTTTCCCAGCTGAATGTCGTGTCTTTTGCTCTCCAGAACCACCATCGACGCGCGCTTCCGGTGCCCGATGTGATGAGCATCCTTGCCATGTCGATGGCGCTGGAGACTCTAAACCTTGTCAACTGGACTCTGCCTGCGGGCACTGTGACCGGTGCGTGTCCTCGGCTTGCCACCGCCACGCTCCGTCGCATGAAATTCAAGCATGCGGCGACCGTTCCCCAGATCATCCAGTGGCTCTCGACCTCCCACCGCCTCGCTTTTGTGTCGCTCTGTGACACGGTGCTTGACCACGACGGTGTCTTGGAGCTTGCGCGGGCTCTCCCCGTCTGGATGGCGTCTGGCCTCGCGTCGCTGCGACTCGACGGGACAGGGCTCACGGACGACGACGCAATCGTTCTGGCAATCGCGCTCGCCTCCAAGCGCAACCGCCGCCCGCTGACGATCGACATGACGGCCAACCAGCTCTCGGTTGCGTCGGCACCTGTGCTGCTGACGGCACTGGGTGCGTGCTGCGACGTCACGCTGCATTTGGGTCACCCGTTTGCGCTGAACGGTACCGGGGAATACGATTCTTTGGATGAAAGCGACGACGAGGGCGAGCAAACGATTCAACACCTTGTACATGTGCACCGCCTGCGGTACCGCGCGTCGGGTATTTACGTGTCGCCTTCGCAGACGTCGTCGCCGTGGCATGCCCTTTAAAGCCTCAAAACAAGGTTTTTCGAGCAAGGTTTCATTGCCCAAGCATACCATGGGTTTCATGGTCTTGCTTCAATCCAGGCCATGCATATTATTGTCTGCTTTGGGATGAGTTTGCCATTACAGTGTGCGCCCGAATTGAACATTTGCAGCAGCAACCCTCAGCAGCACGACATGGGGACACATAATGTATCAGGCAGTGTGAGCACTGCCGCATGACCTTTCAAACGCAAATCGCAAGAGTATCGGTCTTTGGCAGTGACGAGGTAATGCGCTGCCGTTGCCAAGCTCCATTTGTGTACAACAAAACAACATGACAGCACAGGAAGGCGATTCACGACGAGATCGTGGGCCAGTACGTAAAACATGCCTTTTCATCATTTATGCATTATCACAGGTATTTAATATCACAGGAAGCAGAAAAGCGCGGGCCAAGAATGGTAGACGAGCACCACGCAGCGAAGCGGATCTGCCAGCGTCGCAGCCCACCAAGCTTACCCAGCGTCGTGCTGCACGCTATTCTAGAGGCGATTACGGATGGCAAGGACGTCGCCGCCTTGCTCGGTGCGCTGCCGGTGTCGATGCTGCCACCAGAGCTTATTGCGCTCCGCGACTTTGGTGCTGTCGTCGCCCTCGCCGACCACTGGCCGGTCGTGCACGTGACCAAGATCCCAACTCTGCACGCTTACCTCGGCATTGCTGCGCTGCCAGCGTTCCGTGGCGTCTTCATCGACCCTGGTTTTGCGGCGCTCGCGTGGCTCGACGCGACCTTGCCGCCCCAAATGCCCGTGACGCTCGTCATGGACCTCGCGGTGCCAGGTCTTCTCGGTGCCTTTGCGCACGCGTGGGGCAGCCGCATTTCCCATGTCATCATCCAGGGCCATAACGTGCAATTGGACCCGATCCCAGACATGCTGGCGCGCTGCGTGAACGTCGAATCCGTCACGATCGAGAGCACCGCGACACCCGCCGCCGCCGCGTACTTGGCGGCGATGCCAACGCACCGCTTGCGTGCGCTCCGAGTGCGTACGAACGCCGTCGGTGCACTCGACGCCTCTGCCATCGTCGCATGGCTTCAAGGACCGAGCGCGTCCTCTCTCTTGCTCGACTGCGGCACGGTGCGTGACCCAATAGCACTCGCCCGCGCGATTCAGACGTCGCCTGCGCTGTCTACCTTGAGTCTCGTGGATGCTGCGGGCGTTCGAGCCGCCTTGGCAACGTCGCCACACGCGTTGCATCACATCACAGCGCTCGCATTGAGCCAAGATGCCACGCAGCATGCCATCGACGTCCTCGGCAAGGTGGATTGGCCCTCGCTGCGCTCTCTGAGCGTCCGCAACACGCGTGAAATTGTCCTTCCGCTCTACGACATCGCGAACGCCCTCAGCGCGTGTTCGTCGCTAAAATCGGTGACCCTCTACCACTGGCTTTTGCCCGGTGCCCAGTTCACGGGTGTCTGCCCGCACCTCTCGACGGCCTCACTGTGTCGATTGACGTGCAATGCAGAGTGTGTCGCGACCCTTGTGCGCTGGCTCTCCACGTCGCGCCAACTCAAACTTCTCGACTTAAGCGGCACCGTGCTCGGGAAGGAAGGGGTCTTGGCGCTGGCGCGCGCGCTGCCCGCGTGGATGGCCCGTGGCCTTGAGATTCTGCGCCTCGACAGCACATGGCTCCATGACAAGGACGCGATGGTCCTTGCGGTCGCGCTCGCCTCTGGCAAGAACCGACGACCGCTGACGATCGACTTGTTAGCCAACAACATGACAATTGCGTCGGCGCCCGGGCTGCTGACAGCACTCGGGGCCTGCCGCAATGTCAAGCTGCGTTTTGGCACCGATTTTGCGCAACGTAGCATTTGGTCGGGCCACCGTCTTGACGGCGATGAAAACATCCGAGACCTCATTCGAACGCACCAGCTCCAGTACGTGGTGTCGGAGCATACCTTTTTGTCGCCGTCTCGTGTCTCGTCGCCATGGCAGCTCGTCTAATGTTTTGAAAATTGGCCTTATTGTGTACAAGACTCGTCTCCTAATTTGCATGGATCATTCTTGTCAGAGGGTATACATTGTATACTATACCCTCTGACTCGTAAATCTCGTTGTACTTGTATACTATAAAACGAGATTTACCGAAAATAATGTTCGTCCTGTCTACGTTAGAGTCTTTTCTCAAGCAACCTGACTCTCGACGCACGCCTTCGCTTGTACTACAATTGCCGCACAGTCGAAATGCGACGGGGCTGGTTTGGATAGACACGATCGAGCAAACGCGTGCGCTTTCGCTGACGCGAGGTGGCCCGTAGTGTGTGGCCCGTAGGTTTCTTCTGGCTAGAGTCCTTGCGACGAGGCTATCGTCACACAATGTGACGTACTCGGCGACGTAGGGTCGGTGTGGCCGGGCGTCGATTCTTCAGTGCAAGTACAATTGTATAGTCACGGGACCGAGTGTCCACGATGGCGCGCCAAAAGCCTGTTTGAAGCGTACGTTTCGGACCTTGCCCTGGCTTATCCTGATTCGATAGGTATTTTCCAATCCAGTACACACACTATACGCTTTATCTGATATAGTGTGGTACTTGTACCTCATATGGTGTTCGTAATCAAAACCACGCTGCCCAGAGCAATTTTACCGTAAATATACGCTACTTCCTGCGAAACCACCTGCTCGTATGCGGAAACACGTGGTTTTATGCGGATTTGTACGCGCCATGCAGAAATGACACTGTCACATTGGCCTTTGCTTTGGCTACGGTGCCAAGTACATCAGGAATGTATCGAATACTTTCGTAGCAATGTAAGATTTACGGTAGAGACGAGCAAGACCGTACTTTTACAGGATCAAATTCTACAGTACAGTTCAGTTCTACTTTGTTTTCAAAGTTGACATCACAAATGACTTTGATGATCGTATGTGACCACGTCCGTTGACTCGGGATGTCGGCCAGAAACTCGAATTGAGTTTTGAGTTGCTGGCTCTTGATGATCGTCCACCGTTGCTATTCCAAGACGGTGTGAGCGGACGCTGGTGTTATGAGAAGTCGTTTGTAAATTTTTATCTTATTATATTCTCCAATTTTCATTATCTTATGCTGTACCCAAGAACACTGCTATAATTTTCGAGCTTTCTACCCACGTGAGGCTCCAACTTGGCGCAGACTGCACCAACCCAGTCTCGCCCACTGTATATGGATCGCTTACTTGCTTCGCACAGCAAGCTCGAATGCAACTCGAGCCATGGAATTGCATGACATGCTGCGCATGCTCACGCCCTTGTTGCCGTTGGTGCCATCCGCGTACAAACGGCCCAAGAGTGACCATCCAGAAGAGGCGTACTGAGAGGAGGCGCATTGAGCGAAGCGTTATACCCTTTTCTCATCGGTCACACAATGATGATCCTTGGTTCTGCACGCAGGTTGCCGTGAAGGTCGAATAAGAGGATATGGCGATGAAAAGGAGTGCAGCGCACGCGAGCAGCCGCATGCAGGCCCGACGTTCAGACACGATTCGAGCGTTGACGGGATGTACGCAAGCGCATGACGTTGCGGCGGTCATGATGCTAGGCATATCGCGCCATCGCTCGCAGCATCGCCGTAGGTCTTGAGAGCTTGGAGGAGCGCATCTCGGAGGCGATCCCGTGGCCGGCGTGCGGCGAGACCGTCGAAAAATTGGCCAGGGCTCCGCCCAAGGGTCGACTCGGTGGCTCGTCACGCATAGAAAGGCTGCAGCATACCTACAGCGACGTCGCGTGAGCGCCTTGGCCTGAGGCCTGCGCACGGCTTGCCACGTACCACGTGCCTGGGCTGGCGGCGATGATCGGTTCGAGAACTTCGGCAAGAACACTGGCGATTGGCTCGAAAGCGAAATCGTTGCCGCTCTGATTGACCGCGAATCTAAGATCTTGTCGCTCTGATTGGCTGAAACGCTTTGGCTTGGCGTTGACGAAAATGAGGGAGATCGACGAGGAATGCTGCATTGCGACCGAGCGACACCTCGTGGTGGCGTAGAGAATGCTGATGGAGTCTCCTCGAGCACAATGCAGCAGCGTCAGTGGTGCCCGAGGAGCCTCGGCGTCGTCTTTCTACCGGTCGTTGCCATTGGCGTTCGCCATCTACAACCATAAATAACCATATTTTGGGGACCACAGCCCGGCCGCGCCGGCGGATCGACCAGAATGAAGTTTGAAAATGAAATCGCCCATACTTGCCAGAGTGCTAGACCACACTGTGGGGAGTCCAAAATGCTATGTGGCGTCGCCGCGCGAGCTCTGTAGCTAAAGCAAATGGCTTCGGCAAACAATGTTTTGATATAGTGTGCTTGTTCGCTATACCGAAATACTGTACGATATACATCACGCAGCGGTATCGCGCGCACGTCGCCTCCCTCGGCCACATGCAACACGCTTTCTAACATGAACAAATAGAGACGGCGTCCTCGGTTTCCGCGACTTCGACGCATTTGCAACCGAAATTGCATGTCCAATTTCGTGAAATCCGACGCTCGGCAGTTCGAGTTTGGTGTGAGTGCCCAAGCAACGACGGCGACCAACAAGCTGGTCGCACACCGGGTCGAGACCCATCGCCAGCTGTGGCAGCCAGTTTCACGGTCCTTGGAGCTTTGGAACCCCGCGATATCACGTGGAGTATTTGGGCAATTCTGCCAATGGAAAATGGATTTGCGCGTGATTGCGCTACGTGCAGCGACGGAAACGACATTTGCGTCATTCAAAAAGTGTGTGGAGAGGTATACCTGGCTGCTACGTGGCGCTGACGCGTCTGTGGGCTGCTACTCGTCGTTGTGCCGAGTGGTGCTCACACTATTCCAGACGAGGTCTTGTGATTGGCTAGAATGATCAAGAATTGAGCCAATGAAACATCCATTCCAGATCGAGTTCCAAACGGATCCACAAGCACAAGAAGTGGTGTGGACGCGCGCCAACATCGGGAAGGTCCGGCGCGACGAGCAGCTGCACGAAGAGGCAGAGCGCGCTGCCTGCCGCGAGAAGCGCAAGCGGACGGCCGCGTCGAGGCGCTAAAGAAGACCAAGCCGACGCCGCCGCCCATAGCATGAGCACCGAGAGTCTGAGCATCTGACACTGGACTTGACCGAGAACACTCTCACGGCCACAACTGTGACCTTGCTCTTGACAGCGCTCGGCGCGTGCCTCAACGTCACGCTCCATGTGGACGAGGACGAGCTCGATGCAGAAATCCGAGCACTCGGCCAGCAGCACCAGCTCGTGGAGACGTCGCCAGGTGTCTTTACGTCGCCGACGCGCGCCTCGTCACGGTGGCATACCGGTAGTACGACATAGCGAGGGGTGATCTCCATGACTCGTTTTGCATAAGAATGCAGCTGCAATCAACCGAGGTCCAATAAAAGTGTGTCCAATTTCCAACTGAATTAGACTCTGCTTGCCCGCGCCTTTTGCGTGATGCGTATGTGTCAGTGGTGTCAGGCCGACGCGCTGCGTTGAGCTGTGTGATCAGGCCGTGCTACCGTGCATTTCCAAGCGCCACGTCATATCTCTCTCATTTTATACGTCTTATCCGGCGCGATATGCATTCCCAGAGGTCCTGAATTTTTACCAACCAGAACCGAAAACAGCACGTCGCCAACCGAGGATGACCAAGCGCGTCTGCCAGCGCGCCACGTCGTTGAGCCTGCCATGCGTCGTTCTCCATGGTCTCCTCCACATGCTGGACGATGCGTGCGACGTGGTTGCCTTCCTTAAAGCGCTGCCGGTGTCGACGCTGCCACCCGAGCTCATCGCGCTCCGCGACCTCGGCGATGTCGTCGACCTCAACGAGCACTGGCCGGAGGTGCATGTGGTAGACGTGCCGATCGAATGTGCTCGCCTCGCCATCGACGCGCTGCCAGCATTCACCAGTGTCAAAGTGGACGCTGGCTTTGCCGCTCTTGCGTGGCTCGGCGCTACGCTGCCACCGACGATGCCAGTATCGCTCGTCGTGAACGTGTCCGTCCCTGGCAACCATGCCGCCTTGGCATACTTCTGGGGCACCAACGTCGTCAAAGCGACTGTCACAGGACCCGAGTTCGGCCTCGGAACGATTCCCGACATCCTTGCGCGCTGCGTCCGTCTTCAGTATGTGACGATCGAGGGTCCAGTGACTGCCGCGAACTTGGCGGCGATTCCGACTGCGAGCTTGCGTACGCTCAAGGCGACGGCCCCAGGACAGCCCATGGTCGACGTCACGGCCATCATCGCGTGGCTACAAGGACGTAGCGCCACATCACTTTCGCTCGACTGCGACTCTGTGACGGACCCAGTAGCGCTCGCCAGTGCGATCCACGCGAGCTCGACGCTCCATTCGCTGAGCTTTACGAGCGCACTTGACGTCCAAGAAGCTTTGGTGGCGTCGCCGCACACCTTACACCACATCACGGCGCTGTCGGTGCACGTACTTCG